AAAAGAAAGTATATAATATAACAAGTATATAGTTAAAAGAATAATATTTATTTATTAGAGATTAGTTGAGAAAATATAAGTTAAAATCTAGCAAAACTTATCTTGGCTTGGGCAAAAAGACAAGGTTTTTATATCTTTTAGAACTCTATATAAGAATGAATAATATTTTGTATCAATGGGTCTGTATCTGTACCAATGGGTCTGTATCAGGTCTCGTATCACAGGGTAACAAATTATTATTTGTCATCTTCTATAATTATATATCTTTAAATCTTAATAACTTGTTAGCTATTAACCCAATTAACAAATAATAAAAACTATACTAAAGAAATTGATATCAAGAATTCCATTGGTGGAATTAGATTTGTACTACAATTAGAAGTTATTTAATAAAAATTAAAAAAAATACTAATATACTACTAATACAGTATAACACTATAATAGAATAAACTAAATTTTGAGATTAAACTATAAAATAGCATCTATTGTTTAGAAATAGGTTTCATATACTATCTGCTAATAGTCTCAAAGTTTATCACTTACTGCAGGGATAGCACCTGTCATTTAGAAGTAGTTCTTATATACTACTTGGCAACAGGTTTAGAGTTTATTACTTACTAAACAAAAAATATCTAGCTTGATATTAAATATATTAGATTTTTTACTAATAAAACCACTCTTTTTAATATCTAAATTCTTTACACAAGTAGTTTTTTTTTACTCTTCTATCTCTTTCTAGTCCTCTAAAATTTTTAACAAAAAATAGGCAAAACAGCTTATTTCTTTTAAAAGATTAGTATTATTTATACTTATCTAATTAAAACATACTTAGTAGAATATAACTATATATTTGTTTTGTTGATCAACATAGTATTATGATATAGAATGAATCTAGTACCTCTATCTAGAAGATATCCAATATTGGTTATATGCCTAGAAAGAACTCCAAATATTAAAGCTAAACTTTATAGTAGAAATATATATATTAAAAGTTGTAATTTAGTATATAATTTTTTAGTTTTATATAGATTATAATAGTATATTCTTTTTATTTATATATTAAACCCTTCTTTTTTTTATTTTTTTTATCTTTATCTTTTATATTTAGATTATTTGTTTAGATTATATAGTATATTCTCTTTCTTTTTTGTTGTTACAGTCAGACCTCTCTAAGTGCACACTCTTGGGACCACACTTTAATAACATGTATATAGAGAATAATAAGAAAAGGTGCATTTATAGAGGCCAAGTATATAATTGGGCCGGCACTTGAGCATGCATTTAGAGAGGGTGTGCACTTATAGAGGGTGCACTTAGAGAGGTCTGACTGTATTTTTTTTTTATTTTTTTTTTATTCTTTTACTTTCTTGTTTTAGTTTATTTTTTTTATTTGCTTTGTTATAAAAATAGTTTAGAAAAATCTTTCTGCTAAAATCTAGGCAAAAAAATTTAAAGAAAAAGAAATAGTCATGATAGGCTACAGAATTTAGTTAATAATTTTTTTAAAAGAACCAAAAGGTCTAATTAAGTATTGAAATAAACTCTGTTTTGCAGGTTGTATATAGGTATCTATAATAACTGGATAAGTTGTACTTTAATTTGTAAGATATATAGTATCAAAAATAGGATAGTATTTGCATATATAATTATTTTATTTTTAATAAAGTATAGTATAACCACTTGTAAAAAAAAAAAAAAAATTATTTTTTTAATATTTTAATATTTATAACAGAAAACTCTTTTTTGATAATCTTTTATACTAAAAAATACAACAAACTTTTTTTGCAAAAAACAGTAAATTATGATAGTAGAGGGTAGCTTAAGACTGATAAAAACTATAAATCAGCATCTATTATTTAAAGATAGTTCTTATATATTATTTGTTAATAGGCTTAGAGCTTATTACTTATTGTGAGAACAGTATTTGTTATTTAGAAGTAGTTCTTATATACTACTTGCTAACAAGTTTAGGATTTATTACCTATCAACAAAAAAATTAGCAGTTTACTGAGCTCTATATGTTTTACTACCTTTAGAAAAAAATATATATTTTTTAAAGAAGAATACAAAAGCTATTTTTTATATTATTATCTACTTGCTTTTTTTACAAAATTTTTGTAAAAAGTAGGCAAAACAGCTTATCTCTATCAAAAAATTGGTATTATTTACTTCTTCCAAATTCAGATAATATTGTAGATTGCAATCACATGTTTTGGATTATTTATAGTTATATTCATAGTACTACTAATAGAAGATTAATATATAGATTTCAATTATTTCTAATATTGGTTGTATGTTGAGAAGAATTTTACATTAAGATTGTGCCTTACAATAGAGATATCTAATTTTGTATTAGTTATAATTTTTTAGTCTTATATATAAGCTTAATAGTATATATTCTTTGTTTTTGTTTTACTTTTCTTGTTGTTAATTTTTTGCTTTTTTCATCATTATCTATTTATGATCAAATTAAATTTAAAAATTTAATTTATTTTCATCTTTTTTTCTTTTGTTTTCTTTTTTCTTTGTTTTTGTTTTTTCTTATTCTGAATTTGTAACTTTCTTTTGTAAACTTGATATTTATTTTTTTCTCTTATAAAAATATAAGAAATAAACTATTCTGCCCAGATCTAGGTAAGAAAAGTTTTAAAGGCTATAAGTAGCTAAGTACTATGCTATAGCAGTTTTTTAAATATGTGTAGCAGAACATGTAGATTCTGTTGACAAATATCAGTATAATAACTGTACTTGGGCATTTTTGAAATAGCAAAATGGGGTGGAGTCAATAGAAATAGGACAAATATATCTAATAAATTTGTTCTATTTCTATTAACTTCACCTCAAATATTAGCCAAATATTAGCCAATTATAAACATTAGATAGTTTAGTTTCTGTAAACTCATATATATCTAATAAATCTGCACTGGGTTATTAAAATAAATATATATATATATATATATTTTAATATTTGATACATTAAAAAAGTAGCTTTTGTATTAGAGTATATATATAAAAATTAAAGATTTGTTACTTTGTTTTAGACAAAAATTTATATACTCATCTATACTATAAATCAATCTAATAATATATTTTATACATATTTAAAGTTAATAAATACTGTATTATATAAAATATTGTATATACAAAAAACTTATTTATAATATTATATATATACACTATATATATACATTATTATTATTTTGTAATATAAAAAAATTTAACAAATATTTACAGTACTTATATTAATACGTAATACAAACTTCTAAAAAATTTTACTTTTATATTTAAATCTGCTAATTACTATTTTTAAAATATTTATATACATTTAAAAAAAAATATACAATATACCTAAAAAAAAAATTAATATGTATACATAGCATTGTGCAATTTAATCTCAACAATAATGAATACTTTTTGCTAAGCGACTAACAAAGTAGATCAAAATCAAATACTATTTTGATTATGAATCCTTTTGACGCATACCATTAATTAAAAAAAAAAAAAAAAAAATTTACAAAAAAAATTTTTTAAAATATGCAAAATAAATCTATTCCATATAATCCAAAAATAATCTATAGATGACATCTGTTGAAATAAGATTGATCCAGTAACTCTATTCTTTTTTATTCAATATGAATAACGCATCATCTTTTAAGTTTTCGTGCAAATTCCAATAAAAAAGGGCCTATATTAACTGCATCCAATTGATCTTCATCCTTGTTTAGCAATTTATTGAAAATCGGTAAAAGAACTTTGTGAATTGACTCAACTTGGTCTCTTAAATCTCTATTAAGATCAGTAACATCTTTATGCTCCGATTTCTTAGCTTCTGATAGAACTTTAGAACTTTGAACTTGTGATCCTGCCACCGTTTGCTTTTCTGTGAGTTGACGATCAGTAATGGCAAGAGATTTCAATTCCATTTCTTGTTCTTTTTGTATTGTGTATGGCATCAAGGTTGATATGAAAACAAGGAAATGATAAAGGGACAAATAATTCGAAGTCATAGGAAGAAACTCTCAAATTTGATTATTTTACCTTCATGAAACTGAGTAAATTGTTCTGAAAAAATTGGAAATGGCACATCTAATCTTTGCAATTCATTATCTAGGAATAAATATGAAAAACCAGGCGATGATATCAGATAATAATATAAAGCCAAAGACAAAAAAATAATTTTAAAGATGATCTTCATTTACCAAGTGCAAAAACTTGAGATTGGGAATTCGGTATAGAAGGCAGACAGGACTAATAGATGAAAAAAAGTAATCTACTTTACCATAAATTACAATTGATGAAAATTACAAGCTACATACATTAAGGTTAGACGAAGATTGAAGAATGTCATTTAGTGTGTGAGAATTTGAATACTGCTGTCCAATTTGACCATTGTATCGCCCATTATTTTGTGTTTTTCTACCATTCGAAGTTGGAGTATGTCCGTTATTCAAACCATTAACTCGAATAGAGCTGCGATCTATACTGTCAGTAAACTGCGACAAATTGCCAGTATCGTCATTTGTTGAATCTTGACCGTTGAGATCAACGGACGCTTCACTATCTATAAAACAGGTTGTAAAAGTCAATAACAACTTTGAATAGATATACACAAAAAAGAAATAATTTACTTTCGGAAATATATTCTTCTTCTGAAGTATCACTATTGTCTTCAGCTAAGTCCTTATCACCAAGAACAAACTCCTTGTCTGAGTCTTCTGAATCGTCAGGCAGATCAGCATACAACCAATCTTCGCTCATGTCTTTATGCCTATTACTCAGCATTCAAGGTTTTTTTATATATTATTCGTTAAGACAGAAAATTGTTTAGTGTTAGCCAGTATTATAATTCAAGCCGGAATTACTGGAATTAATGTTTACAACAGATACACTTCAATGTTTATACGTATTTTAGTTTTATTTATGTATTTAAAGCTGATATCACGTGATACATGCTAATATGCACTTCTAAACGTTAACAAAAAGTATGATAAATCTATATACTAAGCATCACCCAAATATTCCATAACAGAATTATAGCCTTTTGCTAAGGCGAGATGTTTCAAAATTCCTGTTGCAGGAAGGCCTTTTTTTCTTCGACAAAATGAACAATTGCATACACCTCGACATTTCGGACAATTCCACTCGCCAGAACTTCGCGCTTCTTCCAGTGTTTCACCGTATCTTTTACAATAAAAGATAAATAAAATTTATGCAGAGTAATTTAAAAAGAAAATTACGCAAATATTACCTTCCAACTAAACATCGTTCATCCATCATCACTTTACAGAGCGTTCCGTTTTCTAATACATTCTATAAAGTATTGATCGAAATATAAATACGTGTTATCTTTGTTATATTCATAGAATTTTGCAAACTTACAGTGCATTGTACTTTTTCTTCAATAGTTTTTTGTCTACATTGGTGACAAGTTGATCCTAATTCTGAATCATAAATTCTACCTCCATAAAATCTACGTCCTTGATTATTTCTTCCTAATACTTTATATCTGGTCTTAACACGTGAAATAGATACGCGAGATATGCTTAGTTTTCCATAATAAATGGTTTTTTTTTATTTTAATCATACCTTTGAGCCCTTAGGACGAATGACACGTCGTAATTGAGCTGAGGCATAAATAGGTTGATAACTTTTGGCGCGTAGATTATACCTAGGTTTCTATTAAAGTCATTAAGTTTTATTAATTAGATTTTATCTAAATTCTCAAATGATGCTTTGATAATTATAGATGACATACCATTTGTTGTATTCTCGGACTCTTACGCGAAGGTGTTCGGGCATGTTCATCCTGTTGAGATTCTTCCGAATCAATTTGACGCTTTGGCGGTCTTTTAGGTTTAGGAGGTGAAAGACTAAAATCAATAAGACCGAGTTTTGCCAGTAAGGCCCTGTTTTGTTCTATACGTTCAAGCCTCTCCTTTTCATAGGCTTCTCCCACCTTTTTCATTTTTTTTTTTTTGTTTTGAATTGAAAACATTTTAATTTAATAACAATTGATTAAATTATATATATAAACAAATCATATTTACCGCGTATGTTGGTGCAGGTTCTTCGACTTTACGACTAGTTCTTCCCATTTTATTTTATTGAATGAGCAAAGAACACAATCAATAGTTGGAACTAGCAGAAAACCAATATTTCACGTCACTCCTGTTAAAAACGCATCAAAAATGTCAACATACGGGGTGTCGGATTATTGGATGATCCTAACGCTAAAGTGTAAATTAAACGTCATATTATGTCAGTATATTTTTAGTGATAAAATATATCGATAAAAAAGAATTTTAAAATATATACAAAATAAATTGCATTTCTAAATCATCGGAAAAATATTAACTATTACGTCTTTAATATTCCCCATTTGAATAAAAATACGAAATAAAGTAAAAATGTGTTTATTCATAACTTGAAAAATAAATGCTGCCGATTTTTATTGTGACCTCTCTAAGTGCACCCCACTTAAAACTATAAAAAAAAGGTGAAATATGCACTTAAAAAGGGTATGTATTTATAGAGAGCAAAATATATAGAGCTCTTATAAGTTGAGGCCAAGCCATGCTATGCATTTAGAGAGGCCTGACTATACATATACTTTCGATTAAAGATATAATAAATCGGTTTTACTAAATCACACAAGTGTTCAACACCACAATCGCTATATCTCAAAAACTTAAGTAATTAATGTGGCAGATCATAATGAAATCGGATTAAAATGAAACTGGGGACCTTTCTTGCTCATCTTTAAAGCTTATAAAACCCACTTATACTCTTTTATTAATAAAACTCACTCTAAACCCTAACTCTAACACTAACCCTAACCCTAAAAAATGTCCCCCAAAAAATTTTAAATTTTCCTAAAAAAATAGAAAAATTTCATTTTAATCCGATTTCATTTTAATCTGCCACAATTAATGCCGGGTGTTCTTATTCAGCTCCCCAAAAACCTTATACGTACGTACGTACGTATTACAGCTGTTTTCACAAATTCTGGGACACCTAAAAATTTTCTCGTCTCCCGAAACCTCTTCGATCTTGTTCTTAGAATCATTTAACTCTTCGGAAACTACTTCGCTGTCTCCATATCGAAGTTCCAAGTACAGCGATGTAGTTTCCGAAAAGGTAGGTGACTCAGATGAGATCGAAGAGGTTTCGGGAAACGAGAAAATTTTTAGGTGTCCCAGAATTTATGAAAACAGCTGTAATCTCTAATACTAACACTTATATTTATTGCATGATACGTAGCAAGCATACAGTATAAATATAACAGATAATTTTGGTTATTTATTCAAGAATTTTGCTCTATATATGATATATATATCGATATTGAAATTTCAAAGCAAAAATAAAAATTCATTGTACAAAAATTACTGCTACTCAAATTTTTGCGAAGTAAAACTTCACAATAAAAACGAGTGATCTTAACTAAGTACGCGTTATTTGAACCAATTTTTTAAAAACGTTCATGACTGTTGTTTGCACCATGCTTAGTCATGACTAGTAAGTTCTCTGACCAATCATGTCTAGTCTTCGCTTTCCATATAAAGGGTGACTAACCCATTTTTTTTAAAATCGTTAAATTTTCATTTCGATCTTTAAAATTTTTCACGAATTAATTTTCATTTAATGTTCCTTACTGCCACCCAGGCTTCTTCCACTCTTAGTGTTTCCTTGTGTACACTTTGTCACTGGCATCGCAAAGGTAAAATTGCAGCATATTGTTCACCAGGTAGTGTGTGACTTTATAATATTTCAAATATTGTGGGCTTTACCACCACCACCACCACCTCTTCTTCCACCTCCTCTATGTCAAAAAGTTACATCTACACATAGCAAGAGTTTCTCTTTACTAAGTGTCTCCAACACAAGCTTGTCTCAGACATTGGAAGTAGTATCAACTTCAAGAGAACAGGCTTAAGCATTATACTAGAACAAGCAAGTTGCAGAATAGTTGCAGAAGTTATAGTTGCCTACAGGGACAGATTATAGTATATCAATTCATATATGATCTCATCAAATACATTTTTAAACTCAATAGTGCAAAACTTGTGATTCTTTTACAAGATGGCTTTTCTAATGATAAAACTAAACTCTGCCAAAATATTTTTGCTATTAATACTGTTTTTGTTTGTTAGATGCAAGAAAAATAAGTAGCAAGATTTGTTTAGAATTTATTTATTTTTTATTTATCTAATAATATTAATTAATTAATAATATAAACTAGGGCTTCAATGTTTGGTTCAGGTTCAGTCCAGATTTAGTCAGACCTGAACTTGAACCTGGACTTAAACTATAAATTTTGAAATTTTCAAATCTAGACTCAAACTTGAACACAACACACTAAACTCAAACCAGACTCAAACACAATTATAGATTCAGTTTGGGTTTGATTTGAAGTTTGCAAACTTGTTTGGGTTCAATATACTGTATATAATATTAGATATATTTTGATATATTTAATATGTCTTAATATATCTAATAACTTGATATTTTACTAATATGCTGCCAATTTGCTGCTAAGATTTAGCAGGTATTTGGTAAATCTATGAATATATTAGAAAACTTGTCTTCTGGTATGCATCTAATATTTATTGATTTAACTTGTAAATTTTAATACAAACTATTTCAGATTTAATAATGATTAAATTCTAGTAATTTGCAATAAAAATACAATAATCTCTATACAAATTAGTTTATTTTAATCAAATATTATAGTTATTGGAATAGCAGTAAGTATTTTGGTTCAAAATTTTTTTTTAAACTATGCAATATATTTAACTATATTTAGTAAGTATGAAAATCATTATTATTAGTTTCTATTTAGTTAAATTTTGTTTAATTTATATTATTATAACTATGAAGTTTAACTACAATATAAGGTCTTTGTACTACTATTGTAGTTGTAGTATTTAATTACCAAAAATAAAGTTTTTATACTGTTTATAGAAGCCTAATTACAATATAAGATTCTTGCATTGCTATTATAGCTATAGAGCCTAACTACTTGAAGTCTGTGCATTGTTATTGTAGTTGTAATACTTAATCACCAAAGATAAAATTCTTGCAATAGCCATAGAATCTAATAACAATATGAAGTTTTTGTACTTTATTACCTAATCACAATGTGATATTCTTGGGGTGGTGCTTATTTCACCAACAATCATTTCGTCAACACCTCATTTCACCAACAATCAATTTACTAACAAGTTTATTTCACTGACTATTATTTTACAGACATTTAGTTCACCGACTTGTTTAATTCACCGACTTGTTTAGTTCACTAACAATTGATTCACAAACAATCATTATACTGACAAGCTTATTTCATTAAAAATATATTTCACTAACAATATGTTTTACTAACAGTATGTTTCACTAACAAGTTTAATTGATTAACTCTATTATTGCTCATTTTTCTGGTGATCATTTCTCATTTAAATATAGATGCCACTGAAATTGATTTTCAAAAAAGGCCTATTTCGTCTCCATTAGAGCAAATTAAAATTTTTTATAAAAAAGAGCAAATAAAATTTATATATTTATACTCCTTATAATTTCGTCTATTCAAAAAAAGTATTAAAAAATTTCATCTTTTAAGTAAAATAGGTCAAAAACAATTTCGTCTTCAAATTTTAATTTCAGGTTTTAGATCCCAAAATAATTTCGTCAGCATGTATACATTTAAATGACATTATATAGGGTTAGGTTAGTATTTTTATTAATTGTAGGTATATATCACAGGTCAAATTAATGAATATTGGGTACATACCAAAAGAAAAGTTTCCTGATATGTACCCATTAGTCTGCTATAGATCCGCGGTAGATTAATATCAACAAGATAATAGCAAAATATTAGGATATCCCGATATTTTACTTTTAAGCCCAAAGTGCTAAGAGTAAGATATCAGGGTATCCCAATATTGTACTGTTATATTACCAATATCGATCTACCTCTTGATATCTTACAAATATGCTACCAATATGCTGCTGATATTCAGCAGATATTTGATGAGTCTATGGCAGACTAACAGGTACTTATCAGAAAACTTGTCTTCCGGTATGCACTCGGTATTTCTTGATTCAGCCTGTGTATTATTAGTAATTATAGCTGTTTTTATAAATTCTGAGACATCTAAAAATTTTCTTGTTTCCCGAAACCTCTTCGATCTCATTCTACCTTTTCAGAAGCTACTTCGCTATACTTGAAACTTCGATATGAAGACAATGAAGTAGTTTCTGAAAAGTTAAATGATTCTAAGAACAAGATCAAAGAGGTTTCAGGAAACAAGAAAATTTTTAGATGTTCCAGAATTTATAAAAATAGCTATAAGCTTGTTGGTGAAATGCATTGTTGGTAAAATGTATTGTTGGTAAAACATACTGTATTGTCAGTGAAATAAGCTTGTCGGTATAATGATTATCTGTGAATCAATTGTCGGTGAACTAAACACATCAGTGAATTAAACATGTCAGTGAACTAAATGTCATTGAAATAATTGTCTGTGAAATGAAATTGTCGCTGAATCGATTGTCAGTGAAATGAAATATCAGTGAAATAATTTTTAGTGAAATAATACATATTCATATTCTTGTATTGCTATTATAGTTGCAAAGCTTAATTACCAAATATGAGTTTTTTGTATTATCTGTAGCAGCTATAGAACTTAATTATAACATAAAGTTCTTGCAGAGATCTTTGCACTGCTATTGTTGTTAAAGTACTTAATTACAAATATAAGGTTCTTTAGCTGCTTATGCTATTATAAAGACTAATTATAATATAAGATTTTTGTAGCTATGAAGTCTAATCACAATATAAAATTCTTGTACTGCTATTGTAGTTTCAGAGCTTAATTACTAAACAGGTTTTTTGCAGTTATAGATTTTAGTTATATGAGGTTTTTGTACTGCTATCATATCTATGAAGTCTAATTACAATAAAAGATCTTTGTATTGCTATCATAGTTATAGCTTAATTGCCAAGCAAAAAGTTTTTGCATTGTCTGTAGCAGCTACAGAGTTTAATTATAGTATAAAATCCTTGCATTGCTATCACAGCTACAAAGCCTAATCACAATAC